TTGATACACTACACATATATAACTTTAAAATACATACATATTATAAATATAAACACCCATGACTGGAGTACAAACATTCGTGCTCATCACACAAATGAATGTCCCCAGCGGGACTCAAACCCGCGACCTCTGGCACAGCAAGTATGTTCACTACAATGGACCAAACGTGTCGTTAGTAACATTAAGCAAGCTTATTCATCTAAGTCGTGACAATCGTGACGCGTGAATATTATTATTCAATCGTTATTCAATATGATTCGCCGAAACAATGGTGTTAATTTGAATATTAGCTTTTAAAAATTCATTGCGAAATTATGTTTGAATGGATAACCAAGAAGAGAAAACTATTAGATACTTACTATAAACTACAATATACAAAAATACAAAAGGGATCATAGAGCGGTATATTTTTTTGTTAAATTCTACTAAAGCATCCTAGATTCAATGGGCTTGGACAAAATAGCTTTCTACAATAATTTATGCTTATAGAAAACTATTTTTTTTTCTATTGAGCCTTTTTTAACGGCTGAGTAGTCGTTGGTACCTACATACATATTATATCGTTTTAGCACGGTAATGTAATGCATATATTACCGTGATTTTAGCATCTAACTTCAACATACCTTTCAACTTATCTATACTAATATTATAAAGAGGTAAAGATTGGGAATTGTGAGTTTGTGACGTTGTAGATAATCGCTGGATCTACTGAACCGATTTAGATGAAATTTGGAAAGAAGATAGTTTGAGACCTTGGAAAGGACATAGGATACGTTTTATAACGGTAATCATCCCATAAGAGGGCGAAAATGAGGATGAAAGTTTGTATGGGATATCAACGCAGAGACGAACCCGAGCGAAGCGAGGGTGAGTCGCTAGTATTAAAAAAAGTCAGATTAACAACATATTTCACTTATATTAATTAAAAATACATTTAACTTCATTAATATGGATTTAAGACGTGAAAAATGTTGATCTATCGTTTTCACCTTTGGACCTTCGGAACTAAGAACTTTACTAATCATAGTGAAACTTCTCTTTACTTTCATTGGCATTCAATCATTCACATTTACAAAATTAAATTCATTCAATAAAAAATATACGTATTGAGTTACAACAAATTCATACTTAATGTGAATAAGATTCTTACTAGAATTGTTTTTGCCAATAATAATAATTATATATAATAAATAATAATATAACATTATTATTAACTAATAAAAAAATTCATAAAAAATAATAGCAACTCTAGCTTCGCTACTTGCGTGTCTGAAGTTAAAAAAATAACTTTAGGTAAGTATTTTTATTGTAACTACTAGCGGCTCACCCTCGCTTCGCTCGGGTTCACCTCTAGAAAAGCACAAACAGATCTATCCCACGGGAACCGTTCATTTTTCCGGGATAAAAATAAAATAAATAAAATAAAATAAGTAACCTGTTGTTTGAGCTGCATTATAAGGTATAGGTATCAGCATGCCAAATTTTACTAAATTAGGTGCATAAGTTGTTGTGTACTGAGCTGTATAAGTTACTATAATTTTTTAACTATCCCACGGGAACTCTTTAATTTTCCGAATGAAAAGTATCAAATTTAATTAAATAGGTTCATAGTATCGGAGATTAGCCCGTACGAACAGACAAACAGACAGAGAAACGAAAAATTTGAAGAAATCTGGATTTGTTCCTATTTCTCTTCTCTCCTTACGTGATTTAAGAAGAGAACTGACTCGTTTTTTAGCAATTTTTTACCATCTATGTACAGACATTCGACCTCTACAGTTTATTATTCATATATGTACCTATATTCAGATAGAATAAATAACGTATATAAAACAGAAATATATAATAATGAAAATAGTTATAGCGAGTGTACCTTAGGAGATAGCGATTATACTATGTAGAAACTTTTCTATAGACCTTTTAAGCACTTACAATTTTCTTGTACAATGTTTTTGATCTATCTCTTAAGGTTGAGCCAACGTTAGCCATATAAAATTTCTAAGGACAATTCGATAGCAACCAGTTATTGTATTTTCCCGTGGGAATGAATATTTGCCTGTCGTAAAAAGTATTCTAATGTTGACCGCGAGCAATAAGTTTTATCACTATACAAATTAAGTTTAAAATCGTTGAGTACTTTTTGCGTGAAACGCGCACATCGATTTGACTAAGTTTTTATTATAGTAAGAATAAATATTGCGAGTGTAACTTAGAAGATAGACATATACTATTCACAACTTTTCTGTAGGACTTTTCAAGACCTACAATTTTTTAGTATATTGTTTTGATGTATGTATGTCTTAGGGCTTAGCCAGAGGAAGGTTTCTAGGGAGGACTCGATAAAACCAGTTATTGTATTTTCCCATGGAAAAGAAAGATTTTCTTTAAGTAAAAGGTATCTAGGAAGTGGTATCCCCAGTGGTAACGCGCTCGCTTGGGAACAAACCGAGTGAAGCAAGTTCAAATCCGGGTCTCGCGCACCGCTCTGATTATTTTCATTGCGAATCATTTCTAACACAGTTACCACTTGTCTTAACGGTGAACGAAAACCTGCATGTCTGACAGAACCTAGCAAAGTTTTCGAAATGACATGTGAAGTCCACCAACCCGCACTTGGCCAGCGTGGTGGACTATGGCCTGATCCACCTCGTACTGAAGGGAGGCCCGTGCATGTGTTAAAAAGGGCTGAATACAACATACATACATCATACATACATACATACATACATACATACATACATACATACATACATACATACATACATACATACATACATACATACATACATTACATACCATAATACTACATAATACATACATACATACATATCACATAATACATACATACATACATACATACATACATACATACATACATACATACATACATACATACATACATACATACATACATACATACATACATACATACATACATACCATACATACATAATACATACATACATACATACACAATACATACATACATACATACATACATACATACATACATACATACATACATACATACATACATACATACAATACATACATACATACATACATACATACATACAAAAGGTACCCTAACATGTTGACTCGAGTAATAAAGTATCACTTCACCAAATTTTTGTTTGAAATTGGTACATTACTTTTCGCGTGTGAAACGCACACCACATAAACAGTCATACAGGCAAACAGACAAACAGGCAATTTTTTAATAACTATTGTTATGGGTCTTATGTTGTGTACATAATACGTTACAAATAAACAAAAATAATCTATCCCACGGGAAAAGTACATTTTTCCCGGGATACACAGTTACCTATTTGTTATTCTGATGCTATATGAACTATATATTATCTGTAAAAGTTCCTTAAAAAAATTTTTTCCAATCAGTGGTTTTTGTGTACTAAGCTGTATACGTTACTATAGTTTTTCAACTATCCCACGGAAACTCTTCAATTTTCCGGGATTAAAAGTAGCTGATTTGTTTTTGTCATGTATGAACTATATTATTGTAAAAGTTTCATTAAAATCCAATCTGTAGTTTTTGTGTACCTAAGCTGTATAAGTTGTTATAGTCCTTTTAACTATCCCTACGGGAACTCTTTAATTTTCCGGGATGAAAAGTCTCTAAGATGTTGCCGGGGATATAAGGTACCACCATGCAAAATTTCATTTAAATAGGTCCAATAGATCCGGAGATTAGCCCGTACAAAGAGAAAAAACAGACAAACAGCTCGCTCGGGTTCGTCCATACCTACGAATATGTTGTATTATCTCTTTAACCATTTGTCCAAAATTATATTGCAGTAAAAGGGAAAGGGAAAAGTCTTTATTTATTTTAAAACATTTTTTAGACGATAAATTTACTTATTTTGATAAGAACTTCATAATTGTTGATAATATGACCAATAAACATGATTTTAATGATTTTTTTTTTATATAAAAACTACTTTTTGTGACTTAAATATAAAAGTTAGACATATGCTAATGCCTATCGCTGACTTTTTTGTAGGCATTATTAAGCTCTACAACTTTTCTCTAGAACATAAATCATATATATCTTATCGTTTAAGGCAGCGTTCGTAAGAAAAACGTTTTCGTTCGACCGTTTTTTCTCCGACTACTTTGCAAATCTGACTACCACGAAAAAACGCCTTTTCATTTTTCGGGTTAATATATAGCATATGAACACTCAGAAAGAACGTGGCTTTCTATTGGTAAAAGAATTTTGAAAATCGGTTCAGTAGATCCAGAGATTACCCCCTACAACGTCACAAACTCACAAACTCACAAGATCACAAACTTTACCTCTTTATAATATTAGTATAGATAATGTATTATCTAAAGCCATTAACATAAATACCGATTTTAATTTCATACTTACAGTACTTGCTGTACTGTGTATTTCAGTATCTATATATTTTAACTTAGAACCTATTAAAAAGTTGTTATGCTGAAAATATATTACAACATAATGTAATTATCAACATTGTTAAAAAATGCAAGTTGCAACGAAACAAGAGACTACCACATACCTATTAATAATTAATTATAATTACGCATTATTATAATTTCTAGTAATGTTTATCACCTACGGGACGATGATCGCGATCCGCGTAACTCCGATCCCCACTGTATTTAGTTGAAAGTAAAAGCACACGGCAAAACGTGCGCGCCTCACTGCCCACCACGAAAGTGAGCGCGAAAGACGCGTTTTCAAAAACCAAAAACTTTTCCCCCCAAATCTGACATTGACGTTTAAGTCACAGATGATATTTCTTTTTTTTTGGTAATGCGTTAAACCTAGGCCTTATTATTTAAAGTCTAAGGCTTTAATCATATATCATTGGAATTAATACAAGTGTAAATAAGATATGGATTATCGGCCGTCACTGCGTATTTAATAAGGCTGGAGTGCAGCGTCCTCAGTTTCATAAGTTATGTTGCGCGCAGTGAAAGTGCAGTGACGTAAACGTTACATTAGAACAGAAATGGCGTGTACTATTGGGTTAGGGAAGTGCTACACTGTTGATATTATACTCGGTAAGTTGTACTATTTTTAATGTTTAAAACATATAATATTAAAATCTTAAGTGTATATCGCATTTTATGTGTAAACGATGTATAGACACAATATATTTTTTATTTTTAGATTGAATTATTTAAACATTCAGTTCTTAGTTATTACCGTATAATATCATGTGCACGTATTTTTTTACACATGCTTCATTTTGTTTGGATGCAGTACTGGTTTTTTAGGGTAGTTACCCTGCAAAACTATTCTAAATTCTTAATTTTTAGTAAAAAATATTATAATAGATATATAATAAAAAAAAAAATATAAAATCATTTTTATAGCATTGGCTTTATAAACTACATATGTCTACATATGATTATTTTAAGTATCACTTAAACATTATAAGAACAAATTTTCATATGCCTTCCAAATTCGTACACTAGTACAATATTACTTTATAAAAAAATCAAATTCAAATGCTTGATTAGAATTTAGAGCTCCTAAGTCTTGACACAACAATATAATAATAAATTTCAACATATAGTTTTAACGCGTTAAAAATATGCCAGAAATGTTTACCACCACAGTTAAAAAACAAACGGGAATCTAAATGGAATAATTCTAGAAAGGATGTTGAGAATTTTATCTTTTAAACGAGCCTGGCGAGACGGAAACCACACACGTATGACATATAAAGAAACATAACTTTTTACAATAATTATATAATAATTTACTGAAATGTAATATTTACGGATAAAGCTAATAATTTTCTAAATTAGACAATGTTCACTTTAATAAGTGCAATTATTTCGTTGATCTAAAGTAAAAACTCTAATGTAAGAAAATAATAAATAAACAAATAAATAAATAAACCTGTATACATTATAATATACGTTACTGAAAATAATTCATTTTAATATATCATCATACAATGTGTAAAAATAAAGTCTTGTCACTTTGCAAGCCTAAACGGTTTTTTTTTTACTTATTGCATAAAATAAAAACTTAAGGTATTAATTACCTAATTCCTAAGTTCAAATACTTTTTTAATTAAAAGTACTATAAAATTTTAATGACAAATCTATATTTTTAGTATAAATCTATGTACCTACCAAAAATAAGACCTCGCCGTTTTTTTCAAAATAAAGCTGAGGCTGACTGAAAATAACTTCTATTATATTAAATAAATGTAGTTATATTGAAACGTTTTATTATAAATTTCCTTTATACCTCCAACGATAACAGTTATTTTGAAATATACATAATATGCGGGCGATATATTTTTCTATTACAGATACATATTATATCGTATGATGGTAATGCATATTACCATAGCTTGACGTCTAGCGCATTTAAAAAAAAAGCAATTACACCAAAAGTAAAGCTAAGCTACTGTGTTGAAATAGTGTTTCATAATAATCCTTTTTTATTTTCAACAATGATATTATTTATCACAATTTTTAGCTTGTATAAAAGTTTTTTAATTCATATAAAAGTATATGATATATAATAATATACGAGTACATTGCGTAAAGCAGAGGTCATGTGTAATACTCGTAAATCAAATAAATGCATAATACACTTATATATTATGCGTTATTATACGAAGAAATGGCTCTGTTCGAATATATTCATTGCAGGGTAAAAAAAAACAAAATAATAACTAGCGGAGTGACTCAACACTCCGTTCTCTACTTTCTGGCGGTAAAAAGCCACAGAAAGCAATAGAACAATGTCATATAGTTACAATGTAAATTCTCAGTGCATAATCAAAAGTGGAACAATTCACTATCTATCTATAACAAGCATCTATAAAAATATATACTGTTAGATACGTTTTATGTGGGCAATGAATCACGATTAGTGTTATTTTATTGGCGATTAGTAAAAAATAATGTAATATTATATACAAGTTAAGCCCTATTTTGGGTAATGCCCTATTTGGGGGGTGTACAAAAACATAAAATACAAAGAAACAGACTAACAATTTTTTTATAGTCGATAAATGATTAGAGTCTGGAGTGAAACCCACACGCGCGATTTGTGATGTAGAGCCCTACTACACTTAAATCTCTGACTTATCTTCGTCAAAGATACGTCTGACGCCAAAAAGTCATTTTTAAAATGGACTGAACTTATTAGCAATCATTTCCATGCTTAGAACTTATTAGGTATTTTAGTCCGCATTTCTGCCCACGTATAAAAAGTATTTTTTTACGGATAGTCTTACTTTCTATAGTAAAAAAAATTTACACGTCCCTATAATTTCAGAGATTATTAGTATGCAAAAAATTAACTAATTACACTTCTTTATGTTGTCTTATAGTGCATCATAAAGAGATAGTGCATCACTTAAAACTATAATACTTACCTGTTAAAATGTGATTAAATAAAAAGGCGGCTATGTCAATTAACTAAAAAGTTTTCGAACGAAAACGTCCATCATCTTTTTGCCTTATTTGTCTAATGAAACGCACCGAAAGATAACTGGGTGTCACTTTCACTCGTTGCTTTACTTCTAAAATTATTGTATTCAGAATGTTTTACATAATGTTTATTGTACGATATAAAGAAAGTAGGTGATATTTAAATAATACCAAGTAATTTAATAACTCAACCATGTTTTTTTTTTCAGATTATAAATTATTTGTAGGTAATAAGCAATTCAAGTTCCGTCAGTATGTGAACGGTCATGTAAGAATGAGTATGTTAAAAAAATATGTCATCAAACATGTGAAAAAGAAAGTGGATGTTTAGATTGTGGAATACTGTATAATAACTACGCAACTATATTTGCTCCAAAATCAAACTCAAAAATATTATAATCTAAACGCAAAATATTTAAAAACAAAGTTAAGAAATGTCCCTATACAAGAAACATGTTTTAAAGTTCTTTTTCTTTTTGCTTTATTACAAAGAAGAAAAATTTATTACAAAAAAGAAGCAATACGTAAAAATAAATGATAGTGGCCAAATGTGAGGTGCATTCACGGTAGAGATTTTACCTGATTAAAAAAACTATTTCATTGATGAATACGTAATACGTACATTTTTATTTAAACCTCCCGACCCAACAGACATTATGCTGTCCAAATTTCAAAGAATTTGTTTCTGATTTTTTCTTTCGTTACAAAAATCCTATAGAAAAAAACCACGTTCAGTTTTCCGTATTGTCCGGGACTTTTTCTTCTTATTTTATCTCTTTCTTAGCTCCATTACGAACATTTTAATCCTTTGAAAATTAGCCAAACCTGCCGTTCTCATGCGCTTACAAAACAACAGCATTTCATTTTTATTCACATAGGTATACACACGATAAAAATGTGCTATTCCAGACGATAATCTATCAAATTTCATCCAGATCCGTTCAACCGTTCTGGCGTGATTGAGTAACAAACATCCAAACATCTAAACTTTCACATTTATAACATTAGTAAGAAGTAAGATAGATGGATGGATGGCAGGTACTTAGGTGCAGTTGTTGACGAGTTTATAAAAGTAGTATCAAGGCTACAGATTATTAATATTCACGCGATGTAACTCTGACATAATATTGTAAAGTGGAGCATAGTGATACAATTTTCACCGAAATTTTATTAATTTCACCAAACCTATTACGAAACGCATATTGATTGCTTCATACATATATAATTAATTAATTTATGTACATATTTTTATTTTTTTATATGGATAAACCTACGGCTTCTTAGTGAATGGTAGTGGCCGTTAGGGCCTACAGACTTCGTCGACTTTAAAATGATAAAGTGTGAACCACCTACCTACTGTCATTAGTTCTCAAAATAGCCAATAGGGAAATGTAATTACCGCTAATAACACGAATTTATGTAAGTAAATAATTATACAGCAGAACTCTTAATAATGAGAACCAGAAAACTACAATGAAAATAATTTCTTTAATATTTATTTTATCTTTAATAATAATAAAAAAAATATTATTTCAAAATGTAGATTTAGGCTGAAAATATTTTAGTGTAAAGAAAATAGGAATTAAAAAAACAATTCAATAAAATAAAAAAAAACATCATAAAGAAAAAATTCAAAAATTATAAGAATTTATAAGTATACAGTTTAGACACAGTTTTAATAATTTCATATCAATTTGAAATCAAGCCATTTAGGATATTTTAAACTAGGTATACTTCTTAGAGTATACTGTAATCTATAACGAGAACAAAGTATCTTCTTCGAGTTTATATTAGAATTACATAAATATTGTCATTTATTCTATCTTGAAGAGCCGACTCCCTGTTTCACGATCAAAATAATCGTAAGAAGGACAACATTTCATCGTCAGTACACAGTATATGTATTACCGTTATTGTGTACACCCACGAATTTAATTAAAACATCGCAAAAGGTATAGTTAAAATACTGCAAACCTTGCTAATATTATGCAAAATCTTATGACTTGTAAATACTTACTAATATAATTAATACGAAAGTATATACATATGTCAATTTGTCCATCTTCCGCGCGATTATAAGTTTATGGACTGAAGAGTAGCATAAGCAAAGCCTAGTTTATGACACGACACTTAAAGTAGTTTTTATCTTAACGGGATTCCTATTAATGTATTGCAAAATATTACTCAAGAAACTCACATGTTAAGTTAGCTGGTTTTAAATAATTTTATTCATTTTCTACCCATACCTATTAAGCAGATGTATGCAACTGTAATCTAATCCTCATATATGGGACAGTAATCTAACACGACTGGACAGAGATCAGGCACAGCATCCAAGATTTTTTGAGTGCTCTCCAAGGCAAATAATACCAAATTCTCTTCAAAGTAATATATTCCCCGCAAAACAAATGTCATTAACAAAACGCTCTATCTATCGCGCACGAAAGCAAATCGTAAGCGTATTGAAAAGACATTAGATTGACATTTTAATAGAGACCCACGTTTCACCGTCACGTCAAAGTCCCGGTTTTTTTTGCTCACCTAACCTTTATCCATCCATTACCTATCTCTACTGTACATTCTGACTTTAAAACGTTGAA